AACAACCAAGAAAAATCCCCCCCCCCCCCCCCCCCCCCCGGTCCCCGTTCCCCCCAGGAAATGTGCGAAAACCTGGCGGAGCGGTGCCGCCAACGGGGAGGTCTCAGTCCACCGGCGGTGCCGGCGGCGCCGACTGGCAGCGGCGGTGACGACCAGGCCCCGCGTCCTAGGGTGCACCTCAAGTCTTGCGTGAGCAGCGGGGACCTGGTCTTCTCGTCGGACCAAGGAATCATGTGTGTCTTCAGCATGACGACGGTGGACGCGTGGTGAGACAGTTGAGGCAAAAGATGGTAAACGTACCTTCTTTTGATGGGGCGACGATCATTCGCCCATGTATGTTGAGGGGGGGGGGGGTGTACTCATAGTCGTGCATGCCGTTGTCGTTAGACCATTGACGTCGCATCCCTACTAAGCCGGGACGGAGCACGCCGGGTTCTCACCGGACCAGGCTCTCACATCACCAAGCGCGAAGCGCCGTGAGGTATTTGGCGAGTCGCATGAAGGGTGAGCTGCATCCTGCTAAGGGTGTTCGGCATCTTGTGCTTACTTCCTTGCGTACGGATGACAGCTACGTATGACTTAATTTATTTTCTGGTGCTTTCACTTCCAGAGACAGTTGTAAGCACTGTGTAACTGCCTCGAGGAAGCTTGACCATTTTAACACAACGTGGTGCGATCATCCCCCGTTGCGCGGAGTGAGGTTTCTCGACCCCGCACAACATGATCTACTCGACCACCATTATGGTTACCGCCAAAAACAAAACCGAGGTAAAAAAAAAAAACGGTAACCTGGTTGCCGAGTTCACGAAGTGAATTGGCCTGTTTTACAACGTCGTTGCCAAGCGACGAAAACCCAATCCCGATGGCAAACACCGAGTGGGGGGCTTGTTTTACAACGTCGTTGCCAAGCGACGAAAACCCAAACCCCGATGGCAAACACCGGGGGGGGCGGCTTGTTTTACAACGTCGTTGCCAAGCGACGAAAACCCAACCCCGATGGCAAACACCGGGGACAGGCGGGGGGGGGTATTCGAATATTGTCAGCCAAACGATGAAAAGGTCGTGGGAGAATTGTTTCCGTTTGCATCACAGCACAATTGAAAAGTGTGTGCAACAAGATTACTTGTCGGAAGTACATGGCTCTCCGGTTTGGTTCTGAATCGGCGCTGGGGACGAACACATCTTGCTCAGCCCTACTTCATTGTCGCCATCACATGTAGTTGAACGTGGCGTGTGCCCCCCCCCCCCTTAAGTTTTCTGTAA